GGATGAAATTAGAAAAATAGTTATAATTTGTAATAATTAGATTAACCTAAAAATTGAAAGATGTGTCAAAACAAATGACAGATGTCATGAAACATTGATTTTGATTGAAGGCTTCGCAATTTTGCGCTACAACATAACTTAGAGCTGCATTCGCCAATAATTCCCGTTTAAATATTCACTTGCTACTATTATTATGGGACAGAGGGAGTAACTTATTTTAAACCATGTTGTGAATCTTCAATTGGAGAGGGAGTTTCCCATGTAATTAGGTAATTTGCTTTGAGGTAGATCTAATGTTTGTGTTTTTTAACAAGTTGTTTAATTTCCTGTGTAAATACTCAATTGCTAACTAATGATAGTGCTTATTCTGATACAGTACCAGGAAAAACTCACTTTTTATTTTAACATATTTCTTTGACTCCCTCTTTCCTCCCCCTCCACTACCACACACAGAGAAGACAGAGAAGCAAGGTTTCTAGCCAGTAAAATGGGAATCATAGCAACATTCCGGTCATGGGCAGGTAAGTTACTTGACTTTGTTTTCAAATGTTAAGTTATTATGCAGCATCTAATGTAGATGTTAATCTAGTCTTACATGTTATTTTTAGACCTAAAAGAATTTGCACAGAATTATTAAAATTGACTATTTGTAAGTCTATGTACTCAGGATTACCTGGGCAATTAAAAAAATTAAACATGATATATATATGTGTGTGTGTGTGTGTGTATATATATATATATATATATATATATATATATATATATATATATATATATATATATATATATATATATATATATATATATATATATATATATATATATATATATATATATATATATATATATATATATATATATATATATATATATATATATACACACACACACATATATATATCATGTTTAATTTTTTTAATTGCCCAGGTAATCCTGAGTACATAGACTTACAAATAGTCAATTTTAATAATTCTGTGCAAATTCTTTTAGGTCTAAAAATAACATGTAAGACTAGATTAACATCTACATTAGATGCTGCATAATAACTTAACATTTGAAAACAAAGTCAAGTAACTTACCTGCCCATGACCGGAATGTTGCTATGATTCCCATTTTACTGGCTAGAAACCTTGCTTCTCTGTCTTCTCTGTGTGTGGTAGTGGAGGGGGAGGAAAGAGGGAGTCAAAGAAATATGTTAAAATAAAAAGTGAGTTTTTCCTGGTACTGTATCAGAATAAGCACTATCATTAGTTAGCAATTGAGTATTTACACAGGAAATTAAACAACTTGTTAAAAAACACAAACATTAGATCTACCTCAAAGCAAATTACCTAATTACATGGGAAACTCCCTCTCCAATTGAAGATTCACAACATGGTTTAAAATAAGTTACTCCCTCTGTCCCATAATAATAGTAGCAAGTGAATATTTAAACGGGAATTATTGGCGAATGCAGCTCTAAGTTATGTTGTAGCGCAAAATTGCGAAGCCTTCAATCAAAATCAATGTTTCATGACATCTGTCATTTGTTTTGACACATCTTTCAATTTTTAGGTTAATCTAATTATTACAAATTATAACTATTTTTCTAATTTCATCCGAGGGAGTTTCCCATGTAATTAGGTAATTTGCTTTGAGGTAGATCTAATGTTTGTGTTTTTTAACAAGTTGTTTAATTTCCTGTGTAAATACTCAATTGCTAACTAATGATAGTGCTTATTCTGATACAGTACCAGGAAAAACTCACTTTTTATTTTAACATATTTCTTTGACTCCCTCTTTCCTCCCCCTCCACTACCACACACAGAGAAGACAGAGAAGCAAGGTTTCTAGCCAGTAAAATGGGAATCATAGCAACATTCCGGTCATGGGCAGGTAAGTTACTTGACTTTGTTTTCAAATGTTAAGTTATTATGCAGCATCTAATGTAGATGTTAATCTAGTCTTACATGTTATTTTTAGACCTAAAAGAATTTGCACAGAATTATTAAAATTGACTATTTGTAAGTCTATGTACTCAGGATTACCTGGGCAATTAAAAAAATTAAACATGATATATATATGTGTGTGTGTGTGTGTGTATATATATATATATATATATATATGGATGTGTGTGTATATATATATATGGATGTATATATATATGGATATATATATATATGTATATATGAGGGTGTTAGCTGTATATGTAACTAAAGTTTGTTACCTAAAAGGACAATATAAAACATAATTAATACCAAATAAGCAAGGTGTAGGCTATTAGTAGTCTTACATTTCTTGAGAAGAGGGAGTAAGTATGCTTTATCTTTCTGTGGAATAGAAAGCAAACATATTTCTTAAAATAATACCACCACTAAGTGTGCTATTTTATATTAATAAATACCTTCTTCCTTCTTGACTTTGTAGAATAATTTAAGGAATAGCATACAAAGGAGTGTAGCAGTAAACAGAAGAAAATTTTCCTAAACATATCTGTGTTACCTAGGTAACGCTAAGATATCTTTTTCATACAAATTACTATCCCAGCCATTGGCCCCTAGCCAGTATGTATTCAGTGACTTCCCCTGACCTCTCAGTGCTTTGGTAAAATCTCCATGCTGTGTCCTCATGACTACCTATTTCCCCATACCCTCGTGGATAAACTAGGTATTTATGAGGGCCCAACAATCACACATTCTTTTTTATACTTAACCAGCCTCCACGCACTATTTTAACATAGAAACCAACACAGTCCTTCTGCCAAGTTTAACTATCACTGCCCTTACTTCAGAATTCACTCTAACTTAGTTTCCTTTAGCTACAACTATCATCTTTTGCCATCCTTCAGCTTCCTTGCCATTAGAGCAGTTTCTGTCTTACCAACACATGAATTCTATCCTGCTCTAACCACCAGGACAGCCTAGCTACTATCTTCTCATTCTCCTTACCTCCAGTCTCTAAGCTCTGCCATTCTATTCCCCTGCATCTCTTAAACATTATTTCTACCATGCTTCAGTTTGTCCTCTATCCCTTATATACTGATCCATCATTAGAAACTTAGGCCGTTGAGAGTTTTCAACCCTCCTAATGAAGTAAGCAGAAAAATACCGGCATTACAAGTTAGAACTCTGAAAACATTTTTCTCACAGAAATAATTTTCTAAATAGTATTTAGACACTGTGGTACTGTTCATGAGTTATAAGCTTTTGTATATTTGTAACATTATTATATATATTTCAAAATCCACAATTGATTGACAAATGAACTCCAGAACACAGTTGCTTCATGAGATGCAACCACCCGTTTTCCTGATTAGTGCAGAGTATGATCTATAGCAGGGGTCCTCAAACTTTTTAAACAGGGGGCCAGTTCACTGTCCCTCAGACCGTTGGAGGGCTGGACTATAGTTTAAAAAAAAACTATGAGCAAATTCTTATGCACACTGCACATATCTTATTTTGAAGTAAAAAAAACAAAACGGGAACAAATACAATATTTGTATTTGCATGTGGTCTGCGGGCCGTATTTTGAGGACCCCTGATCTATAGAGACTGTATCATAATCTGTAATCTCTCACATTACATCAAACATCTGAGTTTGAGAAATACCATTTTGATGACTTAAGCAAATAATTTTGAACCCAAACTCAAAGAGAAAAATATAAATTACTTTTTTTGAAATTCAAGTCAATGATTTTTTTTCTTTTTATACTTTAGGTATTATTAATTTATGTAAACCTGGAAACTCTGGGATTCAATCTCTAATTGGAGTACTTTGCATACCAAATATGGAAATAAGGGTTTGTAAAAGTTATTCTGATTGTTTCATTTTTTGGACTTTTAATAGAAGAAAGTAATTGTAAAAAGGTTATTTCAGGTGATGGTGGAAATGGATGTGGTTATAGGTGGAAAGATCCAGAAGCAGGCATCTAGAGGTTGGGGCAGTTTAGTTGACTTCTTACTCAGCAGTGATGAAGGAACATAGTTTTTGGAGTCTAGTTGATTGAAGTTTGACTACTAGCTTTACTTATAGTTCTATGACCTTGGGCATACTACTTTTTAAAAATACATATTTTTATTGATTTCATAGAGGAAGGGAAAGAGAGAGTATGTGTGAGAGAAAAAGAGAGAGAGAGAGAAAGAAACATGAGTGATGAGAGAGAATCATTGATTGGCTGCCTTCAGCACACCCCCACTAGGGATCAAGCCCACACCAGGACACTGGGAATCAAACTGTGACCTCATGGTTCATAGGTTAATGCTCAACCACTGAGCCATGCCTGCTGGGTAGGCATATTGCTTTTAACCTTTAAACCTGTGTCTTCATGTGTACAATGGGGTTACTAAAGATTTATTGAAGAGATTAAATTTTGTATTTAGTAAGCATTTAATAGTTATTTTTTGTCTAATATATTTTTTATCTAATATAGGCCTGATAGCAGTAGTTTTCTGAAATATATTGGGTTTTGTTTTGTTTTTTTGGTTGTTTTGTTTCTCTCTTAAGAAACTGTGTTTTAGTGGGTCTCAAAATTGTGTGACAAATGGTTGGTCAAGTGGTTTTCATTGAAAAGTATTAATTTTAAAAACTTAATAATTTAAAGTCCCCCTCCCCCTCTCTCAGAACAAATGGTCCACAAACATTTTCCCTTCCTTCTGAAGGTTTTCAATGCATTATCAGTAACAATTTTTTTAAACTATTAAATATACATGGCCAATAGAGACAACAGTTCTGAGACTGTTCTTCCTTCCAGTGCTGATTAAGACTGGGTGTCAGGTATTAGTGGCAATATTCATGTAGCCTTCTGAGATCCTGAGACCTCTGGCAGACTTGGTGACTTTGCCAGCTCCAGCAGCCTTCTTGCCCACTGCTTTGATGACACCCACAGCAACCGTCTGTCTCATATCATGAACAGCAAAATGAACCAGAGGAGGAGCTCTCAACACATCTGGGCTTGCCAGGAACCACAGCAATGATGACAGTATCAACAGATTTCTAGAATTTGGGGCAATCTTCCAGCTTCTTCCCAGAATGACGATCAATCTTCTCACAGGTTTAATCAGCAAACTTGCAAACAGTCAGCACAGGTTTGGCCTGGATAGTTCAGGATAATCACCTGAGCTGTGAAGCCAGCTGCTTCATGGGTCATTTTGGCTGTCCCCAGCCATGGTGCATGATGAGCATCTTGGATAGACATGTCATTGACATTGAAGCCCACATTGTCCCTAGGAAGAGCTTCACTCAAGTTTTATAATGCATTTCAACAGACTTCAGTTGTAACACTGACTCGAGCAAAGATAACCATTAGTTATACTGGGTTTGGGAATACCAGTCTCCACAGGGACAGTACCAATGCCACCAATTTTGTAGACATCCTGGAGGGGCAGGTGCAAGGGCTTGAAATCCGAAATTCTCCATTCCATGTGAAGAGGGTTGACTGACTTATGGAGAAGTTCCCGGCCAGTGCACCATTTTGAAAAGGAATTTTTGGACTGGAACCTGGATTTTTTGTCTGCCAGAGTCAAAGAATGAATCCACGGACAGAGAGTAGTATAGCCTATTCTGTTTTTATCAGTTTTTTATTTTGAGAATAGAACATTCAATACATCATTAAGCAAAGATTTTTTTTCCCCCATAAAAGTTAATGAACTGTATTTATTTGCATTTGCAGAGAGGTCTGCTTGAAGTACTTTATGACATATTTCGTCTTCCTCTGCCTGTGGTGACTGAAGAGTTCATAGAAGCGCTGCTCAGTGTAGGTAAGTATCGAGGTGCATCTGCATCTATTCAAATACTATAATTTTTGAAATGGCAACCTAATGGAGACAATCCCTTAAAGAAAAAGTACTCGACTAAATATTGAGTATAATTTTCTTTTCTTATTGCATTATAGTGGCATGAAATTAATATAAAAGTAAAACCTCCAATAAATTTCTAAAAATAAGAAATTTTTAGTTTCTCCTGTCATCCTAGCTCTTCAAATGAGCAATGAAATTAATAATAATACGGACCAAGAAAGGAAGAGGAGACAACAAGAAACCTATATAATTCTCAAATTATATGATCTAATTCTTATTTTAGACAAATGACCCCAGAGTCCCAAAATAGTTCGATTTGTGTACATTTATATAAATCATTTTTTTCTGAATGCCTTTTTTAGTCTATTTTTTTCCTAGCCAACATTTAAAAAGATTATTTATAGCCTGGCTAGCTTATAGTTATATACACTTGTTTAATTTTCTCCTAACTACTTATTTTTAACTATTTTAGATCCAGGCAGATTCCAGGACAGTTGGAGGCTCTCAGATGGCTTTGTAGCAGCTGAAGCAAAAACTATTCTTCCTCATCGTGCCAGATCCAGGTAGAATTTAGATACAGAAATGTTTCAAATTTATTACGATGACTGTTTTTATATTAAACTAGAGGCCCGGTGCACAAAAATTTGTGCCCTCGGGAGGGGTGGGGGGTCCCTCAGCCCAGCCTGTGCCCTCTTGCAGTCTGGGACCTCTCGGAGGATGTCCACCTGGTGGCTTAGGCCCACTCCCTGAGGGATCGGGCCCAAGCTGGCAGTCAGACATAACTCTGGCAGCCCAGCAGCCCTCAGGGAATGTCCACTTGCCAGCGGGGAGCAGGCCTAAGCTGCAGTCAGACATCCTTAGTGATGCTGAGGAGGCAGGAGAGGCTCCCACCACCACTGCTGTACTGGCAGCCGTCAGCCTGGCTTGTGGCTGAGCAGAGCTCCCCCTGTGGGAGCGCACTGACCACCAGGGGACAGCTCCTACATTGAGCGTCTGCCCCCTGGTGGTCAGTGTGTGTCATAGTGACCAGTCATTCCCAGTC